TGCAGGTTGTTTACATAAAATAACTATCAAATATGCTTTTTTCATGCAACATATATCTAATATAACTTAAAATAGCATCAAACATATGAGGAACCTAATTCCTTTCGAGACTATCAAAGTTGATCCATTTTCTATTACTACATTCGGTCATTCTTTCTCCTCAACCCAACCAAAAAGAACATCATGTTACATTAACTCTTCAAAGCCGAGGACACCAATTATATTGCTACTCATCCTGCTTCAAACAAAAAGAATAACTAGAACTAGGTTTGACATTCATCAACAAAGGAACGATGTGTGCAGTTTGTTATAACACGAATCAATGACTTTTGACCGTTTCAATTTGTTCAAGCTCGTAGATAATATTTCTTCAGCTAGTATAGTTTTACCAATCGCTATAAAGGAGACTAAAAAGGGTCATCGTGTTCTACATGTAGGGAGTTTCCACCATCTTTCTTGGAAGTTGCCAAAAGACATCTCACACCTTCATGGAAGGAGCTCTCCAACAAATAGGTATGAGAGAATATATGGGAGACATTACCTCTTGTCTCCAAACCAGCCCTATAAATAGAGTGCTCCATATTGTTCATTATCATCAGTTTTAGAAAGTGAGAAAAATGTGTGAAGAGTGAAATACACTTAGAGTAGAAGTGTATTGGTGATGATTGGTTTTTTGTAATAGTTGAGTGTGAGAGTTTGCTCCTCCTATTATAATTCTGTTCTTGATATTGAATAGAAGAATTTTCCAATCCCAACAAGTGGTATCAGAGCGAGGTTGAGTTTCCATACACTATTTTCTCATTTTCAGATAAATTTCTACAGGTTAGAAAATCGTGATTTTTGAAGTTGCTCGGAATCACGATCTGATCATACCGTTAGATTCGTCTCGTTGAGACGAGAAATTCGGTATTTTTGGGGATTTTTTTTGCCACCAGAAGAGACCGTACGCGCCGCCCAAACGCATCCTGAAATTGCCTGCATCATCACGCAGTCCAAAGGAAGAAGACGAGCCACGTCAGCCGCCACGTCAGCGCCGCGTCATCGCCACGTCGTGCTGAGTCATCGTCAACGTCATCCACTTATTCGCCCTCCTGCCGCCACGTGGCGCCACGTCAGCGCCAACGCAGTTCCAGCTGTTGCCACGTCATCCGCCTGCTGGTCTGCCCACTGGTTTGCTGCCTAAATCGGACCGAACCGGTTCGTAGTTGTGGAGGCCGGTTCACCCATTTCCAGACTGGTTTTGGACGAGGTCAGACCGGTTCCTACCATTTTCGGCCATTCCGGATCCAACGACGAGCTCCATTTGTCCAAATTTGGCTTCGAAAATAAGGTACGAGATATATTGAGTGTTTTATTATGGATAAATCATCATCGGACACCATGATTGCACTCACTTCCACAAATTACAATATGTGGAAGCCTCGGGTGGAGGATATGCTAAACTTGACGGATTTAGCCGATCCTCTTGATAATAATGGCGTGAAACCGGATAAATAGACGGATGAAGAATGGACAAAAATGAATAGAAAAACTGTCGCACAAATTCGGCAGTGGATCGATCATAGTGTGTTCCACCATGTTGCGCAAGAACAAAGTGCTTACACACTATGGGAGAAGCTTGGTAGCATGTATCAAGCAAAAACCGCCCGAAATAAGACCTTACTAATGAGGAGATTAGTAAATCACAAGTTACGGGGAGGTATTTCGGTGTCAGAACACACCAGTCAATTCCAGGATCTTGTGAATCAGTTGAGCACCACCGGATGGGTTCTCAAAGATGAAGAACATGCGATACTACTATTGAGCTCTCTACCTGACACCTGGGAGACTCTTGTTGTCACTCTCAGCAATTCTGCTCCCAATGGCAAGGTGACTATGCAGATGGTCACAGATGCCCTTATGAATGAAGAAGCCAGAAGAAAAGATGCCGGGACTGAACAATCATATGCCTTCGTGTCAGAAACCAACAGGCGAGGGGGAGGCAGAAATGGAGGAAGAAGTCGAGGTCGAGGTAGAGGTCAAAGTCAAAACAGGGGAAATTCTCAAGTTCGCGGCCGATCACAAGAGAGAGGTATGTCCTTTGAAAACAGTACTTGGTTTGAAGGGTATTGCAATTACTGTAGTAAATATGGGCATAGAAAAAGAGATTGTAGAAAGTTTCTACGAGAGCAGCCACAGACGAGTCAAAATACTAGCCAAGAAAATGGTGTGACTATGGTCAGTTTGTCATCAGACGCGTGTCTTGTTACACATGGTGAACAAGAATGTTTACACGTAGGTACTCATGATGTTGAGTGGGTGATTGATACAGCTGCATCTTTTCATGCCACTCCACACCAGAACTTATTCACATCTTATAAGTCAGGAGACTTTGGAGCTGTGAAGATGGGAAACACGAGTTTCTCGAAGATTGTTGGCATTGGTGATGTGCACATAACAACCAATGTCGGATGCGCACTTGTGTTGAAAGATGTTCGACACGTTCCGGATCTTAGATTGAATCTTATCTCCGGTACATCTCTGGATCAACAAGGATATCTTAACAGATTCAAAGAAGGTACGTGGAAGTTATCTAAAGGTTCCTTGGTTGTTGCAAGAGGCCATATTTGTGGTACTCTTTATAAAACTCATGCAAAGTTGTGTCATCCGAGTCTCAATGTTGTTGAAGAAGAGATATCGCCAAACTTGTGGCACCGGAGGCTAGGCCACTTGAGCGTGAAGGGATTGACAACTCTTGCAAAGAAGGAAGTCATTTCCATGGGCAAAGGTGTTGCCCTAGATCCATGTGAGCATTGTCTATTTGGGAAACAACACAAGGTTTCCTTCAGTTCTACCAGGAAGAACCATACAGAGTTACTCAGTCTTGTCCACTCTGATGTATGTGGACCCATTGAAGAGGAGTCACTTGAAGGAAGCAAATATTTTGTGACATTCATTGATGATGCGTCACGAAAGGTATGAGCTTACTGTCTGAAAAGTAAGGATTAAGTTTTTGATCATTTCAAATTATTTCATGCCATGGTAGAAAGAGAAACAGGGAAGAAGTTGAAGTGTCTACGATCAGACAATGGAGGAGAGTACACTTCCCGAGAGTTCTCAGCATATTGTGCTGCATATGGAATTAGACATGAGAAGACGGTTCCACGAACTCCGCAACACAATGGTGTAGCCGAAAGAATGAATCGAACCATTATGGAGAAAGTGCGTTGCATGCTGAGTATGGCTAAACTACCTAAGCCATTCTGGGGTGAAACTGTGTTGACAGCTTGCTATCTTATAAACAGGTCACCTTCTGTTCCTTTAAACTTTGAAGTGCCAGAGAAGAAATGGTCAGGAAGAGATGTTTCTTACTCTCACTTGAAAGTGTTCGGGTGCAAGGCATTTGCACATGTGTCCAAGGAGTCGAGACAGAAGCTTGATCTCAAGTCAAACCCATGCATCTTCATCGGGTATGTGATGAAGAATTCGGATACCGGTTGTGGGATCCCGAAGTGAAGAAAGTTGTACAAAGCAGAGATGGTGTATTTCATGAAAACGAGTTACATGAGTGTGCTCCAATAATCCGCAAACAACATACTCTAGAAGACGAAGTGTCTGTATCCTCAAACATTCCTCTCAGCGACGAGGAGATGCATGATACTACTGAACAAGAGAGTGATGGTTCAGTAGGTGATGATGATACTCACAGTGATGATATTCCTCAGCAGGGGGAGCCTTCATCTGAAGATGGAGCTGAAGGTACTCATGTTCGACGTTCTATGCGAGGCATAGTTTCACAGAGAAAGTATTCCACATCCGAATGGAAACTTGTCAGCGAGGGGGAGCCAGCGAGCATCAAAGGAATGAGAGAAACAAAGAAAAAGGTGGAGGGGGAGATTTGTAGGGAGTTTCCACCATCTTTCTTGGAAGTTGCCAAGAGGCATCTCACACCTTCATGGAAGGAGCTCTCCAACAAATAGGTATGTGAGAATATATGGAGAAGATGGAAGCATTACCTCTTGTCTCCAAACCAACCCTATAAATAGAGTGCTCCATATTGTCCATTATCATCAGTTTTAGAAAGTGAGAAAAATGTGTGAAGAGTGAAATACACTTGGAGTAGAAGTGTATTGGTGATGATTGTTTTTTTGTAATAGTTGAGTGTGAGAGTTTGCTCCTCCTATTGTAATTCTGTTCTTGATATTGAATAGAAGAATTTTCCAATCCCAACACTACACACCTGAACTAGCCTTGGTTTCATGGTTTCAAATGTCCTAACCAAGTAAAGTTTTGTCCCCAGCGCAAGTCACTCTGCAATAAATAAGAGTGATCACCTAAATGTATATGGGCTGTTGTTTTCCAACCACGTCTGATACGTAATTTAGTCTAACGAACTCCATTTCCACCTCACGGCTCACCACCCCATTGCCAGCAATCAAAAGCTCTATACAAACTAGTTAGAGAAAAACTGAAGCAAATGTTTTTTTCGAGAAGCCTCTACTAACCACCCCTCTACATTGATTATCAAATATGTTTACCCAACAAAAGATGATAAGAAAGAAAAATTTGAAAAAACAAAGAAACCACGTTGCAAACTTATACTACGTATTTTGTAAGACTTGACGTATGGTCTGTAGGATATTTGGGGAGTGTTTGGAATCGATTCTGTTTCTGCTTTTTCTAAGTGGAGAAACAGAATCAGTTTTTCAAAAGTTGATCTTCTCAGCTTTTGAAAAGCTGATTCTAGGAGCAATATGGAGCGCACAAGATTATTGTTGTGGTTTCACCCAAACACTCTAATATCTCACGTAGATCCAAACACCCCTCTAGAAAAGTAAGTTACTCCGTACTTCTTTCCCATTTTGACATGACTATACTATTTACAAAAATTTTAAGGAGTTCCATATGACTTCCTTGTGGAGTAAATGAATGGTGATGATGGTGACTCCATAAAGGGAGTCATATGAGGTTCCATAATTGTACTCATACTATTTACTTATAGAAAACTCCCTATCATTTTAAAAATTCTTTACAATTGCTACACCGGTGCATAGTGAAAAAACATCCTAACCAAAAACCCAAATGAAGCTGGCCGGAATCGGATTTTGATTTTGTTTTTAAAAGTGGGGCTTTGCAGTTTGCTTCGCACTCCGCCATTTTTCATGTGGCCGGAAAATAGACAGACTTCCCTCCTTACTTCCCAGCAAAACCCTGAACCCTATTCCTCCTCCTCTGATCTCATTTGAAAATGTTCTCTCCCGGAACTCGGAAATCTAACTTCACGGTTAGCAAGAGCAGCCGAGAAAGGCCAGTTGGCGACTCGCCGGTGACGCCTTTGGTCGAGAACCGGAGGTCGCGCTTCGGTAGCGATATTCCAAGTCGCCCCAACACAGGCACTCCTGCTCCATGGACCTCTCGCCTGTCTGTTCTCGCCAAGTACACACGATCACTAGTCCTATTATGCGTCCACATTTCTCTGCATTTTGTTGGTAGCCTTTGAGCAATGTTAGATTATGAGGTTCTAAATTTACGCAATTCCACATTTATGAGATCTAAGGTTCTAAATTTTAGATTATGAAATTCCACACTTCTCTACATTTAAGTTAATCTAAATTATGAGTTCTTGTAAATACTATTGCAGTAACTCAAACTAGAAATGGACTCCCTTGGTTTTTTGGTGCTACGTGATATTTATGTTTATATGATATATATAGGTAGAATATAATTGATAAAAGATGAGAATAAATGTCAACAATCTGCTCATGATTGATGGAGAGGCTGAAAATAGATAGATTGCAGAAAGCTTGTCAACTGATTACTGACAGTCCTTTTTTCTGTTCATATGTGTAGAATTCCTCCTCCCAAGAAAATTGATAAGGAGAACGAGGCTGATCCAGTAAATCCTGTGTTCGTTGGAGAGTTTCCTCAACTATTACGTGATGAACAAGCTGCTGTACTTCAAAGTCGTGCTCCTGGTTAGTGAAGTGAGCTCACTTAGTCGCTTGTGCCCTCTTTACTGCTGAATTTCAGTATTTCACCCTCTAGGGGCTTAGTCAGGTCGTTCCAATATGTGAATCTGCTCAAACAATTATGAACTTTGGTCCCTGTTTCAATCCTGCCACTTGAGTGCCTAATAGGATAATTCTGTGGGGGTCGAATCAAGGATAGGAATGGGGAGATGGAAGGAGGAAACTACATGGATGAGTTGAGATAAGATTGTTGTTGGTGTCATGTCAATTTACATTTATTTGCATTTTTTCCAGGTATTGCATCACTCTCTGGTGGAATGGACAAGGAAACTATGTTGGCTTGGATTATCTGTGGAAGCAAACTCTTTATTTGGAGTTACTTAGCTTCAGCTGCCACTAGGAACTGTGTTGTCCTCAAACTTCCTTCTCCTTTTAGGGACAATGATGATACTGAAAAGCATTCTCACGGTTCTAATAATTGGTTAGTCAGTATAGTAAATTGGGATAACATACAAGATACAAGAAAAGTTGTTCCACAGTGCAATTCGGTTGGTGTTATTGCATGTCATCAGAAAAGTCGAACTCTTGTATATTGGTCAGACATTTTCTCTGATGCTGCTGCGATTAGACCAGTTATCAGTTACGATGATCATGAGGGGATGGAAGTCACCTCTTCTCATGTAGATAGTAAAACCACACCTAGTAAAGGGCAATCCAATGGGCACAAGAGCAGTTCAACCGTAAACACCATTAATTCTATGATTTCTTCTGCTATACTAGAGGACTATCAACATCACGCATGTATTTCCCTTGCTTGCAGTTCTAGTGGTGACCTCTGGCAATATCACTGTAGCTCCACTGGTGTCCATCGCAAAAGGATTTATCAGAATATATCTCAAGACGATGATGGTGGTCACTCTATTGGAGGCCGAGGGTACCCAAGGTCATTGGTTTGGCATTTTCCGTCTCGTTCTGGTAAACCTAACACACGGTTTCTTTTATTGACAGCCCGTGAAATACAATGCTTCTCAATTGAACCTTCTCATGATTACATGGTTTCAAAGATCTGGTCTCATGAAATAATTGGCACCGATAGTGATCTGGGAATCCAGAAGGATTTGGCTGGCCAGAAGCGAATCTGGCCTCTTGATTTGCAAGTTGACTATGATGGCAAGGTTATTACTATCCTAATAGCAATCTTTTGCAAAGACCGGATTAACAGTTCAAGTTACACTGAGTATTCGCTTCTAACAATGCAATACAAACCTGGGGTTGATATTTTCTCAGAATGTGTTCAGCCAAGACATGAAACTGTTTTGGAGAAACAAGCTCCCCCCCTAGTAATAATACCCAAAGCAAGAGTAGAAGATGAAGATTTTTTGTTTTCTATGAGATTGAAAGTTGGGGGGAAACCAGTCGGTTCAGTGGCTATACTTTCGGGTGATGGTACTGCAACAGTCACACATTACTCAGGAAATTCCACAAGGCTTTACCAATTTGATCTTCCATATGATGCTGGAAAAGTGATTGATGCTTCAGTTTTCCCTTCTGATGATGACGGAGAAGGAGCATGGGCTGTTCTCACTGAAAAAGTTGGAGTTTGGGCCATTCCCGAGAGAGCTGTTAAACTTGGTGGAGTTGAGCCACCACAGAGAAGTTTGTCACGCAAAGGTAGTTCTAATGAAAGGTCATCCCTGGAAGAGAAAAGAAGCGCATTCGTTGCTGGCAATATTTCTCCAAGAAGAGCTAGCTCTGAAGCATGGGATGATGGAGATAGACAAAGGTCTAGTTCATCTGCAATTGCACGACGAACTGTTCAAGATGAAGAATCGGAGGCTTTGCTAAATCAGCTTTTTCATAACTTTCTCTTATCTGGCCAGGTTGATGGAGTATTTGATAAGTTGAAACATTCGGGTGCATTTGAAAGGGATGGGGAGGCAAATGTATTTGCAAGGACTAGTAAATCAATTGTAGATACCCTGGCTAAACATTGGACAACAACGCGGGGCGCTGAAATTGTATCTGTATCCGTGGTGTCCACCCAGTTAATTGAGAAGAAGCAGAAACATCAGGAATTCCTTCAGTTTCTTGCTTTATCCAAGTGTCATGAGGAATTATGTTATATACGGAGTATGATTTACTTATGTCATTCTGTTATTATTATAATGCAAATAAGCTACCTGTGCTTTTAGGTGTGTTTATATCATTATAAGCCTCAATCAACTACAGTATTATAAATGAATTCCTGCAGTGGCTATTATAGATTTAACAGTATTTGTTAAAAGTATTTGTTAGAATGTAGGGCTATACATCAATCCTAGGAACATTTGAAATATTTCTCTTCATCCATGCTATCAATCCATTATGACTCACAAGCTGGAGCAAGAAAGCTGGCCCATAAATATGAATTCTTGTGTCATTGTATATAATCATGTATCTGTTACATTTTGTATCCATTTTTGACTGACTTTCTGATTCTTCAACCTTTCCATTAAACTTTAGTTGCTAAGGAAATTTTTAGTAATCAATTGCAAAGAGGACTAAATGGGTTCTAAATTATTCCTTTAAGAGTCTTGCTGATACTTTTATAAAAAACATACTCTATTATATTTCTTTGTCCCTTTTCCCGTTGTTTTCTTACTTCATGGTTCCTTACTTATCTAGTGCTATAACATGCCAAAAATTCATGCTGTTAGTGAGTACATGTTTTTAATGCTATAGAAGTTCATTTTCTGCATGGTTATAAACGCTTTTAAGGTTAAGAGTTCTGAGCTTCTGCCTGCAGGACACTCTTTGCAAATTATCATGGAACATGGGGAAAAGCTTGCTGCAATGATCCAACTGAGGGAGCTCCAAAGCAAAGTTGGTCAGAACCATGGAACCGGGTTCGGCCCTCATTTGCCTTCTGAAGTGAAAGTCTCTAGTGCTCTTTGGGATCTTATACAGTTAGTTGGTGAAAAAGCTCGTCGAAGAACTGTTCTTTTGATGGATAGAGATAATGCTGAAGTATTTTACAGTAAAGTGTCAGATCTCGAAGAACTATTTCATTGCCTTGAGAGACTGTTAGACTGTATTGTTCGGGAGGAGATGCCATTTCCTGTTCAGATTCAAAGAGCTTGTGAAATTTCTAATGCATGTGTGATCTTATTTCGCACTGCCATGAATTACAGAAACGAACAACACCTATGGTATCCTTCACCTGAGGGCTTACTGCCATGGAATTCTCAAGAAAAAGTTCGTAATGGGCTTTGGAGGATTGCATCTTTCTTGCTCCAACTGTCTAAGCAAAAATACCCAGTTGACAATGCTATAAAATTGAACTATTATTCACACCTCGAAGAACTCTCTGATGTATTACTGGAGGCATATTCTGGTGCTATCACAGCAAGGATTGAATGTGGAGGACATAAAGGTTTAATGGATGAGTATTCAAGCAGGAAATATGCACTCCTGGACAGCCTTTATCAGCAAGTGAAGGATTTTGTTGAAGTGAACAACCAGGTTTACTTTGTATTTTGTATGATATTTTTGGTGGCTTCTGATTCACTTGGAAACATCTCATGCATGCTTTTGTAAACTAGGTTGTATGATCCTTTCCTTGAGCATTTCTTACTCTAGCCCCAGGGCGAGATATTTTGTTAAAACTCGAGTACTGGTAGGAGATAGAAATTTACATTCTTTTTCGAGATGGGATTGTACCTTCAATCTTTTTTGTTGCTAAATGCTTTTAATTATGCAGGATATAAAAGAGGGCTTTACACAGGAACAAGAAGAAATGTTTAGAAAGCTTTCATCAGGCTTGTTCTCCATTGCTAAAAGACACGAAGGTTATCAAACTCTATGGAACATTTGCACTGATCTCAATGATTTTAACCTTCTTAGGACTCTTATGGTAAGTTTTGATTGCTTTCTTCCTTTCTTACCTCCCCATTCTGCAATATGAGCTTGTCTATTTCCAAATTCCAATACCCTGGTGTTGTTTTAGTGTGTGTTTGAAAAATGGTTTAGAGGCAAAATATATGTTTATATCAAAGACAACTAAAATACTAATTAAAAAATATAAAGTTTGTGCACGTGGGTGACGTGGGCATATGATAAGAATCAACTAATGTGTTACATCATCAAGTTTCGAGAAAGAATTTGATCTATTCATGAAAAATGGATCTATTCATGAAAAATGATAATGTAATTTAGAAAATCGATACATTTATCACCATTATCAAGAATATTTTTAAAATTTGTTAAGCATTCATTATGGGATGAAATGGATCTCGTTAATCGATTCTTAGTTCCTTATTATGGGATTCTAAAAAGAGAAATACACATCTAAGAGAAAATCAGGTTGTTAGCTGACTAAACATTTCGAAGTTATGATCCCACATAAAAAAATGTATGTCTATAAATTATAGTTATTATGTATAAAAAAATTCAAACATAATGGGGTGACATGGTACTCCCAAAATGCCACCACATTGCTCTGCCAGTGTCTTGTCTTACTGATTGCAATGTTCAGTTTTATTTATATCATTCATTTTTGCACATATTCCCGATTGGAGTGGCTTTCTGAATGTGATGTTTATTTCTGGTCTAGCCTCCCTTAAGATTCCTGTTTTTGTTTTCAGCACGAGAGCATGGGACCTACAGGGGGGTTTAGTTATTTTGTCTTCCAACAGCTGTATGATAACAAGCAGTTTTCTAAGCTTATGAGACTTGGGGAGGAGTTCCAGGAAGAGCTAGCAATTTTTCTAAAGCAGCACCAGGATCTTCTTTGGCTTCACGAAGTGTTTCTTCATCAGTTTTCCTCTGCTACAGAAACCCTACATGTCTTGGCTCTTTCCCAAGATGACAGTTCAACTTCAGATATGGAGACCTCTTATGCCACAAATAAGATGACCTCCTTGTCAGATAGAAAGCGTTTTCTGAATCTCTCTAAGATAGCAGCCATGGCAGGTATTGTATACTTCATTGCTGGCCTCTTTCTATACCCAGAACACACTTAAAATGAATTAAGGTAGACGTTAACAGGGGAATATCGGTTTGTTGAATGCATGGTACATGCTCCATTTTTTGTTTACGGACATTAAAATAAATAAATATGGAATTGCTCATTAAATTGTTCCAAAAAGGACTCATGGACTTCATATTAAGCTGCTGTATTTATTGTAAGAAGCCCTCATGGTTTGGGATATTTTCACTTAGCACATCTTCGGAAGCCCTTAATTTCATATTCGTTTCCCAGAGAAAATTGTTGAGCCTTCTTAAATCAAAAGGTGGAGTCTATAACAGGAATTGAATCTTCTGTGGGAGAGCATAATGTTTAATTCGCTAAAATTGTTTAGGGAGCGCATAATGTTTAATTCGCTAGTTGTTTTGTTTCCCTGCTTGCTTGGCTACAAAAAGGGCCAAAGAAGTTCGCTGTGTGATTTTCATATAACTTCCTCATTTTCTGGTATGGAACATAAAGAATATTTTGACATTTGGCAGGAAAGTGTGCAAATTTTGAGGCAAAGTTGAAGAGAATTGACGCTGATTTACAAATTCTAAACTTACAGGTAAGTTTTGTAGTTCTCTCTTTTTCATGTGAATTTTTGTTTATCTGAGCGGTTGATGTTTTCTGTTCAGGTTCTTACTATGAACTAATTACAACTTGAGATTTTGTTCAGTTTGTAGTTCTAGGACTTCTAGGAGCCTACACTTTCTTCTTTCAGTACCAACAATTTGGATTCCGAAGAATTTTAAGGGGATAAAACGTCTAGAGGGGGTGAATAGACTTTTGAAACTTTTCGACCCTTTGAGAATATTCCTCTATACGAGTTAAGAGTGCAATTAATCATTTTGAGAGTAACTTTACTCATAGCAATTTTAGTTATATTACATTTTCGCAAATAATTTTTATTTCGGTAGTGGTTTGAAAAGTTCTCTATATATATTTATATATTGATTTACTAATCTATATACCAGTGTAATAAAAAATCGGCAAAATTCACAACCTAATGCTTGTTTAATACTTCCAACCCTTACTCTCGCATTTCCCTACACTGCTCTTCTTCTCGGAGTGAATTTAAACTAAAACCCGTTTAATCTCAACACCATTTCTGTCATATGTGGTTCTCTTCAGGTTAGAAGATAGAAGTGTTATGTTAAGGATCCACGTATACGACCTTGTCCAAGGTCTCAAACGGGATCTCGATGAGAAGAGGAGCCAATTGAGACCTTAAGATCAATATTGTTAGTTTCAGATTATTGGACGCGTTGAAAAATAATTATGCAAGAGTCTTAAGGTTGAATTAATCGGTGCCCGACCTAGTCAAGACACATCAAAATTAATTCTCCCCAAAAAGTCCTTTGTTAAACAATATTAGGCTCCTTAAATAGAGATTACAAGAGTCCTAATAGAAAGCATAAGGATAATAGGAAGTTTCCTAATTAAATTAGGAAATAATTATGAATTGGAAATAACTAGGATCTAGTTAATTAAATGCTGCCAGCTTTCCTAATTAAATAAGGAAATAACTATGAATTGGAAATAACTAGGATCTAATTAATTAAATGCTGCCAGCTTTCCCTCAGCCTCCTAGTCAGCCACGTAAATTACCCCGATCCTTCTCGATTGGCCCAACTAAGTTTCCTAAATCTTTTCGCCCTGGCCTTCGTTGATATACTTGTCCAAAAAATGGATCCATAACATGTTACCCATGAAGAAGAGTGGTGATGGAGAAAGTGGGGGTAGGAATTGAGATTACTAAACGGGCATTAGTTTGAATTCACCATAATTTATTCGTGTGGACACCATTGCTAGTTCGGATTATTTTTGCGAACACTCTAAGTAGGGATTATCATTGTAGAATCTCAAAAGGTAGGGATTATTCCTATAAATTTTGCCTAAAATATAAGACTTTGAGCTAATATAATACTAGTATATCAATTGAGTTTGAATGAACTGATCTTTTATGTTTCCCTCAAGTTTTCCTCTCTATTTTGGCCCCTGTTTTTTCTAGCATTTCCCGAGTTCCAAAAGGACTTTCAAAAACAACACAATATGCATCCTCAGGACTTCATCTTTATAAATTAACGCTGCATGTTGGTATTTAGATATGTTCTTTTTTCCAACGGTACAATAAAGAAAGTTATTTCCTTAAAAAGTTCAATTGTCCTTCAGGAAGAAATCTTGAAACTGCTTCCAGACAATGAAGGGCTAGATATCGAGTCACATCAGCTTCTTCCTCCAAGGGATCTAATAGAACTATGCCTCAAGAGTCAGACCAGAGAGCTCTCCTTGAGAGCTTTTGACGTTTTTGCATGGACAAGCTTCTCCTTTCTCAAATCCAACACTAGCCTGTTGGAAGAGTGCTGGAGAAACGCTACTAATCAGGACGATTGGGAAAAGCTATACCAAACATCTGAAGCAGAGGGTTGGGGTGATGAGGAGAGTCTATCCATTCTCCAAGACACAGTCCTTTTCCAGGCTTCCAGTAGGTGTTATGGGCCCCATGCAAAGACCTATGAGGGCGGTTTCAACGAAGTGCTGCCACTGAGGCAAGAGGAAAGCTCTGTGATTTCTTCGTCCTCTGTGGAGTCGATAGTGATGCAGCACAACGATTTCCCAGATGCGGGCAGGTTGATGCTGACTGCAGTCATGCTGGGAAGTGTTGTTGATGTTGATAAAGTGACGGTGGACCCTTCCTCCCCAATGGAGTGATGAGCATACACACCTTGTTTGTTCTTTTTCATAGTTTTGTAGATGACTATTTGTGTTGATAAAATATTCATATGTTGAGAGCAGAATTGGGAGGAAGGGTGACATTACTGGTTTAATTCGATCTTATTCTATCTGTGAATCTGTGATGGGCACTCGGGCTGTCGGGCGCTTGGAACTCCTTGAAGTAATGAATGCAGAGTTAAAGTGGGGCAACTTTTTTCCTTATCATTTATAAACCGCTCAATCTCGTTTAGTATTGTATTTCAATTTTTTTTTTATTAAAAAAAACTATTTAAAAAAACCATTTTCGAAATAAGTCTATTAAAATGATCAAAAAAAAATAAGTCTATTAAAATCCAGTTTCTAAAGAAGTCTATTTTAGTGACGATAAAAAAAAAAGTCTATTTTAGTACTTCATTTAAGAGTCTACGCCTCTATGCTAACAAGGTAACATTAGTGATATAATTGAAACTACTGCCACTACATCTCGAAAATGAAGAACATCTTACTTTGCAGAAAGTACAACAATAAATTATGAGCACCAATCACATTTATATTTTTAATACTTAATTTCTGATTAAATTAAATTGAACTTGTATACGACTTTACAATTATATATGAAAAGCTAGTTCCACTTATCCAACACAACTTTATACTTCCTCCATTCTTAAATAAATGCAACAGTCAACATTTCACATTTGCCGAGACACAACTTTGACCATTAATATATATATTTCTTGATTAGTAAAAAAATTAGATTTTGAAAATTTACAATGATACAAATTCAACAATATTTTTTTCAAAAATATATATTAATACATTAATAAATAAAACGTAATCAAAGTAGAACATGTGAATAGTTTAAAAGTCAAAGTGTTGCATTTATTTAAGAACGGAGGTAGTACTATCGTATCAGTCTTGATATGGGAGTGTTTATAAAAGATTAAAAGTGTTTTTCAACTTTTTGCTTAAAAAACTGAAAATGGTGTTTTTAAGTAACAAATTCTATTTAAATTAAGCATTTTAAGCTTAAAATTGAAAGCATATAGATGTGTTTGAAATGTTTTTCATTTTTTCTATTATACAAAAGTACCCTTTATCAAACACTACCAATTTATATTTTTTCCAGAATAACTTTTCTCAAACACTAAAAGCTTTTATTCTAAACCACTTTCTAAAAAATCACATTAAAACTTTTTTAAAGTAGAAACAAACATTTTCAGGTGAGGCAAAATAGAAAACTGAACAAAACATAGACACACAGTGGAGTGCAATGCCGCTTTCTTCCAAAGAAGTCTATAAAACATGTGGCTCCATCCATCTTCAAAAACCTATGTAAAATTTAACTAATATTTGAATATAAATGAAGACCACATTTGGCAATTAATCCCTCTATATCAATTTAATTGTCTCAGTTTCCTTTTTGGGACGTATCAAATTAATTGTCTCATTCCCTTATTGGAAAGAAACTCATTAAAAAAGCAGCTACAGTACCGCTACAGTATCAAAAACCTCTTACTTTACATATAATCTACAATAATTGTCTTAAACTACGTAAAAAGCAAACATATCAATTAAATAGATACAGAGGGAGAAATATTTTCAACTTTTCAATTTTTATAAGCCATTTTTACCAAACATTTAAATTTTAATTTGCGCATTAAGTTGTAAAATAATCAAAATAAGCACGTCTAGATTTGCTTTTTTAGCTGAGTAGATTAAAGTGGATGAAGAAGACAATTTTAGCATTTTTCCCATATAATGTTTCTTGATTTTATTTGGGGGAAAATAAATAATATACCCTCAACTTTGGGTAAGTGTGATCTCCACACCCTATATTTGTCTTTGTTAATTGAGTACCTCCTACTTTATTTAATGGAGCAGTTAGCACCCTATTTCTCAAATTAACTTTGCTGACTAAGACCCAGATGGCCGAATGTCAAAATTGGAAAAGTTCCCAAATTAAAAAGTGAGATTCTTACATTACCCTCCTGGGAATTAAAGGCCTCTCCCTAATTTCACATATACCAATGTGTTCTTATGCGTGCCCCATCCACTGGTTAGAAAAAAACGATATTAGCATCGCGGACATGAATGAAGAAACGATGGAAGATTATGGCTTAGGGTGACGACGCCACATTCAGCGCAATCAAGACCGCCAGCAAATGCTTCAAAGACACTGTCAGCAAATACAACTCCTTGTGCTTCATTTTCAGGAAAATTCTGAAAATAGGGAGATGATGATTAGGATATTTGAGTGCTTTTAAACTCTATTTAAGGATTTTCAGGCATAGTCATCATCTTCTCTATCATGTGTAAATTTTAAAATGGTTGTCTTCCCGGAAAGCAGGTTTCAAAATTTCAATAAACTTTCCCAAACTGAAGCGTGCTAATTTTACAGTACTTCATATGGGAAATAAGTACATATAGCTTACGTGGAAAACAAATGCCAAGTTGCCAACTAGATGTTTCCTTGGCCACTTGATATCACATGGGGTACTATTATCTCTACTTCCATATAGTACGAGGTATTTTTTTAACCTTGACAAGTATGGGGTGGGGATCTCACACTTACCCAAAGTTGAGGGTATTTTATTTGTTTTCCCCTTTTATTTGTAATATATATTTTGAGCATGTTTTTCCATGGTGAGCATCGTTTCAATTGTTTCAGCCATAACTTGGGTCATTTCACTGGATTCAACCAATTTCATAGTTAACAAACCGGCTCATAGTGTTCTTTCTTGGAGAACAAAGCAATCCTCTAATAACATATCCAGATAAAATGAAATAGAAAACCAATTTCTGTTATATAGAATAAATAAAACATAAAACTAACAAAGACATAGCACACGTTCTTGATAGGAGATTGGTTTATTTCGTTGTTCTTGTGTTTGGTCAATATTTTGTTGCTAAATGGGGAGATTTAACAGCACTACTCCTGTATCACAACATACAATGAATTACTGCGGGAAAAAATACATCGAAAGCTTTTTTTGCCATTGAATATGGTGGGAACACCAATCACTCCATCAACTTTTCACACTAACACCCCAAAAAGATACAAATTCATGGTCAGTACTGTACATGATCTGTATGAAACCCCTCTTTCATGAATTATGATTAAACATATAATGTTTTTGCATAATTCAATGATGATGTTTACATCTCTTTTGTGGAAAACAAAATCAATGATGATATTCACGCTCCCAAAAAAACTCACATAATTCTTCTTATACATTCCTATGAAGCCTTCCTTCAGGCCTGTCAAACACTGAAACACAGAACTAATGCGTGCCAAGAATGTACATTTTGGACGGCAACCTATTACTCCTTCACTTCATCATATATCTTCAGTTTGCATTCAAAGAATTCGGGACCAAAAAGAATAGGGAAGAAAAATGAAATGAATACATTACCTATTTGCCACAAACTAAAGGCTGTGTTTCTTCTACTAAATACCTCAGTCTTTCATGTTTATCATTAATGGAAAGCAAAATTTATGGACATGTCACAATCAGCTCTGTATGCAATGAATGATCCTGCAAAGGAACAAAAAGGAAAAAGGTTAAGTTTTCCATTTACAATATGTTCTGTAATGATTTCAATGAGGTTTACAATTACTATTGTATCTTTTTCTATCGAAGGTAGTATTATTTCCATGACATTATGGAAAATACTATTGGAACTAGAAAAATGCTGGGAACCAGAAGGTAGTAGTTCTCATCCAAAGAAAACAAGAATGGAAAATGTTGGGGAAAGTATGGAAGAAAGAACACGTAGGGAAGCATTATTTTTATATATGTTCAAACTCGCTTTATTTATTTATTTATTTATTTATTTATTTATTTATTTATTTATTTATTTATTTATTTATTTATTTATTTATTTATTTATTTATTTATTTATTTATTTATTTATTTATTTATTTATTTATTTATTTATTTATTTATTTATTTATTTATTTATTTATTTATTTATTTATTTATTTATTTATTTATTTATTTATTTATTTATTTATTTATTTATTTATTTATTTATTTATTTATTTATTTATTTATTTATTTATTTATTTATTTATTTATTTATTTATTTATTTATTTATTTATTTATTTATTTATTTATTTATTTATTTATTTATTTATTTATTTATTTATTTATTTATTTATTTATTTATTTATTTATTTATTTATTTATTTATTTATTTATTTATTTATTTATTTATTTATTTATTTATTTATTTATTTATTTATTTATTTATTTATTTATTTATTTATTTATTTATTTATTTATTTATTTATTTATTTATTTATTTATTTATTTATTTATTTATTTATTTATTTATTTATTTATTTATTTATTTATTTATTTATTTATTTATTTATTTATTTATTTATTTATTTATTTATTTATTTATTTATTTATTTATTTATTTATTTATTTATTTATTTATTTATTTATTTATTTATTTATTTATTTATTTATTTCTATTAATTAAAGTCTAACAACTAAGCATTTGAAAAAAATTAAAAACATTAATCATTCCATTTCCCTTTGCATTTTAAGAGGTAAAACTGAAGACAAGAATATAACTTCCCTAAGCTCTTTTTTCCTGTATTTCTCTAGCGTTTTCAGGGGTAAAAAATATCCCTAGTCTATGTTACAACAATATATTGCAATGTAGTAAAGTCAAGATGCTGACTAATGAACCTTTTTACCTGAAAATGTTCGACTGTTCAACCTGGGGTTCAGGCAGCAATCTGCCACCACACATTCTGTCTGACGTGTGTTCTGCAACATGATGTAAACTTAAGAAATAATGAAAAATATATGACTAGAATAAAAATAATGGACAAAAGTGTCTGTTAATATGTAGTGACCGTAGTGTTTTTAACTACTCACACAAAGTGATATTTTTATGCAGTAACCATGGTTAATATGTAGCAACCATGGTTATGCTCAATTTTACAAAGCAATGATTATGTTGTACTTCTGTACTGGCTATAGTAACCGTGTAGTCACATTTTGTCCATGAATTTTGTTTTAAGTAATATTATAGGATAACCATTGAAACTTATGTGATTAAACTTTGGACTATATGCAGAAAAAAAGAAAAAAGAAATCTAGAATCAATATAAGAACTGTCAGTACCATCTGAGATGAGAAATCAGACATAGGGATCGTCTCCGAAGATGCAGTAGAGGGAAAAAAATTAATGCATCCCAGACAGACTATCTCCACCATGTTTCAGA